AGAGGACACAAACGACAGATGAGGATGTAAGGGTGAGGATGTGGAGTGTGAGCATGGGTGGGTGTGGTGTGTGGTGGTGTGGATGTGGGTGGGTGTGTAGATGAAGAGAAGACCCGCCCCCCACCCACCCACACTCACCTCACACTCACCCCACACCCACACCCATAGCCTATGTAACTGCAGAAACAGATCAATGATGTCAGATCAGCTCACTACCTGACAGAGCTGGGCAACTCAAGTCAAGTCTGACTTGAATTGAGTTGGTCGAAAAAATTCTGACGTGTGACTTGACTTGAGAAACCTCTGACTTGTTCAGCTCTGCTTTCTGATTGTGGAACATGTGTTTTTGATATAGATGGTATAAGGAAAAAGATTAGTATCATGTGAAACTTCTAGGCAGTGAGACCTCTAGAAAGTTTGGTACGAAACTTTTTCTGACTAGCAAAAATCGCTTATGATTTTCACGAAACTTGATTCACTACGAAACCTTATAAAGGTTCTGTACAGTCGCACGGTACCTGAAAAGGTTCCGTACATGAGAACGAAACCTCACAAGTTCGGTAATGTAGCTTTTTGTTTTTCAGTGCGCTACACGAAGAATAACTTCGATTCTGGATGTAGGTGTGAGAGTATAGACATGGATGCAGGCATAAGCCATCCCTTTATCTTAGTGATGGGCCGTAACATCTTCGTCTATCGTAAAATGACATATATCTTTAAAGCGAACGAAAGAAAGGAAGAAAAGAAAAGCATGACGTTATGACGTTGGCTGTTTTCTGTTCTCGCGACTATACGTAAATTGATATGGGAAAGAGACATTTCGCACCAACTTTTCATTACGATCTCCAGTAGCATATGTTCGTTACGTTCTCCGGACGTATGAAAAAGGACAGGGTGTTCGGAATGAAAGTTGTTCAGAAGATCGTAACGAACAACGAATATTGATTTTTAGAGAAAAAAAAAGTGAAATTTGACCGGAGTTTGGCATGAAAATATTGGAAGATCGTAACAATAAAAACAGGATGTTGGAAACTGTGTTCATGTTTGCTGTTTTTTCAGATATGTTAAATAATTTACTAGTTTTTATTCTAAGATAGTACACAAACGACAGATGAGGATGTAAGGGTGAGGATGTGGAGTGTGAGCATGGGTGAGGATCAGTAAATAGAAGACGTCACCCTCACCTACGTCCTCACACCCTCACTCGTCTAGTCAATAATTTTTGAACGTAGAGACTTTTAATTATATAATACTTCATTTCCACAGAGATTAGTGATAACAATTATCAACATTATGAATAGGTTAAAGCACAAAAGTCGCAAACATCTTGTACAGTTATTATAGCGTTATGTGTAGAGACAGAGAAAGGTAGATGTTGTTTATATAATTACGAACCTATTGTATCAATCATTCTTGATTTTATTAAAAAAAAGAAAGAAAAGTCTTTATGACCGTTGTGAATATCAGAATAAATCAGTTACGATCTCCTGGCAAATTGGATCATGAACATCCCGTCTTTTTCGTCCCGATTTTTAAACATTACTCCGCATATAGTAATGATCATTCCATTTCGAATTCCCAGTAACGCCTTTCCGATCTCCCTGTGTTTTCGATTACGAACTCCCGTCGAATATTTGTTACGGCAAAAAGTCATTTCCGAACACCTGGACACATGTCCGGGTGTTCGGAATGACTTGGTGCGAAATGTCCGTCACCCCTCATATATACGAATTAACATAAATCCTTAACTATGAGATAACAATTTCATTTATCTGTTAGTATTGCACACAAAACATAGTTTTTCTTTTCTAATATTTATTTTCGTATTCAATTAGTGCAGCAAAAAAGAAATTATTCTTAGCTATTAATAAATCTTCTATTTGTTTATATTTATTTCAATTATTCATTTAGAAATTTTTCCGAAATTGTCTTTTGTGCCGTAAGTGAATATCAACAAGTACGCGGTTATGGTACTCATCTAATGAATCATTTAAAAGATTATCATATACGATTAAATATAACAAATTTATTAACATATGCTGATGGTTTTGCTGTAAGCTAAAGTTTTTTTTTTTTTATCGTTTGGTTTATCATAAATAGTTTTATTTAAGGTTGGTTATTTTAAAAAACAAGGTTTTTCATCAACAATCACATTAAATGAACAAGTTTATACAGGTTATATAAAAGATTATGATGGAGCTACATTAATGCAATGTTCACTTTATACTCAAGTTACATATACACGTTTAACCGAAACATTATCATTAATAAAAGAAAGTATAAATGTTATTCGAACACATCGTTTTAATCAAATAAAACAAGCTCATCCTGATGCAAAATTTCTTCCGAATGATATACATACAACAGATTTAAATAATTATGATAATTTAATAAATATTGATCATAATGAAATAAATTCATCGGATGAAACAGTTGATATTAATTTATTATATATAACATTAAAAAGTGTTTATCAAGAAATTCGTTCACATCCATATGCTAGTCATGTACAAAAACGAACACTTTTTCAAGATTATTTATCAACACAACCATTATTTCCTATTGATCTTGATACAATACATGAAAGATTAAAAACAAAATATTATCATAATGCATATACATTTACAGCTGATATAAGTCGTCTTTTAGATATAGTTGGACGAGCTTTTTCAAATCAGAAAAAAGATATATTTAATGAAATACGTGTATTTGATACATTTGTAAGACGTAAAATGAACGAATTTGGTTTAGAAATTGGTCATGCACAATAAATATATGAATAATTTTCGTTTTTTTTCTTCTCATTTTACATTTGTATAGATTAGAAAAAAAAAATACAAATAAATAACTCATTGGTGTTTTTATGTATATATATATATATATATATTTAAAGAAAAACAAGAATATTGTATATGTTTTTGTTTAACTCTAGATATATTTAGATATTAGTTTTCTTTTTAACCTATCATGCCACGTGCTGGTTTACGAAATAGTCTTGTGGAACAACCAAGACCAATAGAACGTAAGTTAAAAATTTTGTATTGATTGAATGCAAATAAAATTTCTTTGGTAGTAATAGTATTTCAATATGAATTAAAAATGGTACGAGCTTGAAAGTAGAAATTCGATATCCTCAGTTTTTCTAGTTCCGCTCGGAATAGGTTAGAGTTGTTGGTTACTGGATATTTGTTTTAAAATTTCTACCATTGTTCGAAGTTTTTCAGTTGGAATAATTTATCTCAAGTGATTTTTCACAATAGAGCTAATCAAAAGTCTTCTGTTAAGATTCAGAACAGGATATAAAATAAACTATTTTTATCACAAAAAATTTGCTCTTGATAAACTTTTAATATAGTGTGTATTTGACATGTTATATTTAGCGGTAACATAAATGCTTGTCAGTTCGATTCCGTAAGGTGTCAAAGTATGAAACTCTGACTGTTATAAATTTATGATTTATTGTCAGAGATATGAAGATAAAATTATTTAAAAACAAAAGTCAAATTTTAGTTGTTATGTGCGTTTTGATATTTTATCATTTCAAATATGTTTGAATTTAGAATTCCTATTCTAATAAATTTATTTCATTCATTTAATATTTTTATACTAAAAACAAAACTTCATTGTATTACCAGATATATAAATTGTTTTCTCCTATTGATAAACATATACGATACATATTATAGCAGTCTTCCGTAAGCTTTCGAACATATCAACTGTTTTCTCAACGAGCTTTGACATATACTGTTTAGTTTTGTCTAAACTTAGAAGATAAGCATATTAGTTCAATCACGTTAAAATCTAGCGACCTGTGAATTTTTGAAATCAACAGAAGAAAACTTCGATCGTCTTTTTGATGTGATATTAAATAAGACAATATTATTTAAAAACTCATTATCGTCGGAAAACATTCGAAAAAAAAAGTATGAAAATGATGTTTTGTTTCGATGTAATTTTAATAAACACATGTACTTCTCATATCTCAATATTAAGCAAATAAAATTGTATATCTTTTTGGTCAAATTATTTAGAATTCTGTTGATTTTCAGCAAAATTTTTGCTTTTTTTCTCAAAATTTCCTTGAAATGAAACACCTTTTTCATGTTGAAAATATTCGGCGAAGTTGATAAGTTTTATATAGTATCATACAAAAAGACATCCGAAGTTCACCTTTTTTTCCATTGCTGAAAATCTACAGATCGCTAGGTGCTTTTGTCGTGGTCAGATGATTAAGATTACACCCACCCCATCTTTTATTCTAGCGTAGACTCAAGTCAACACCTACCGTAGAAATCGTAGGCTCATAGAATCATTTGAAAGATGTTTCAGTATGATCTTAATACGATCATTACTGATGCGCCTTTCCTTATTACTCTTGAAATGTAGTCAATAATCTTTGTTTTTCCACTTCCTATCCCAGTTTGCTGGGACCTAAGGATTAAAACTTACACTCACTATTTCTTTCAAAAATATATGAGAGTTTTAAAAAAGTAGAAATGTTTTTTTTTAACGCCAAAGATTATTATGTAAGATTTAAAATGTATCGAAAAATGTTTGCTACTACTTTGCCAAGTTTAATGTTCTCTGACACAAAAAAAAGTTGTGCCCTCGACGAAAGTTCTTACATAATAATTATGTCTGTCGTTGATCTACTTGTCATAAATGCTACGATTTTTGACAACTTACATTTTATTTTACTAACTGTCGACTTGAAAGATTTCTTGTCGTTCTAGTAGAAATTTTGATTGATTACTTTTTCTTCTTCACGTCAAAATAGAAATTAAAATCAATTAGAGAACAAAGCTTTATTTTAAATTAATTCTAAGTTCAGCAAAAAATTTTCACATTGAGAAAAATACAATTTAATTATATTGAATAAAATTCTATAGAGATCTAATGCAATTTATTCAAACATAAGACGAAATATTCGTTATGTTTTGTTTAATATTTAATTTGAATTTTATTCTTTTGTTTTTTTTTCTTTATTCTAGAAACTCTTCCAACAACTCGAAAACGCAGTCGAAAAGTTCTTCATCCAATTGCAACAGATACCGAAATTGATAAGGAAGTTTTATGTTCCTCACCTTCTCCTTTAACTGATAGTGTTTGTGCAAGTCCAGCTCGTCGAGCACGTCTTCTTAATCCTCGTAAGTACTTTTTTTCGGTCTCTATTGAAAAAGAAAAACCAATCTTTTCATAAACATTTGTATTAATTTAGAATTATCAGCGGCTAAAGTTGCACTTCATTCTCATGTTTCACGTCAGATATGTGGTCGCGAAGAAGAACGTCATCTTATAGAAAAATTTTGTGCTCAAAAATTATCTAACTCAAATGATGAAAATGGTGATATTAATAATCCTTGTTTGTACATCTATGGAGCACCTGGTACAGGTTAGTACAATTAAATAAATAATTTAATAGATAAAAATAATCCGTTTCTTTTCTTTAGGTAAAACAGCCGTTGTAACCAGTATAACAAATAGATTTGCAGTAAATAGAGTTATTCTATTTTAAATTATTTATTCATTATTATATTTTTAATTAGGAAGAAAATCGTTTTAAAAATATCTTTCTTAATTGTATGTCAACAGATTTAGTTCGCGATGTTCTTGAACATATTCTTGAACAATTAAATTGTAAAACAAAATTAACAATAAAAAATATGTGGTCACTTGCAATATCACATGTTGATAAATGTCATTTACCAGTTTTACTTATTCTTGATGAAGTTGATGAATTACTTTCATCAAATGATATGGAAAATGTTTATAAATTACTTGAATGGCCACATCAAAGTTCAAATTTACTTATGATTGGTAATATGAATATTGAACAGTTTTGTAATTTCATATATATTTAGATACTAAAACAGATCATAACAGACATTAGATGGACAATTGAAAGTGTACCTTTTTTATGATGATTTGAATAGGTCAATATAGACTGTGATCTATGGATTATTTAATGTCATAAAATTTTTTGTTCGCATTGTTAGAATTAATCAGAAAACACGAAGAAAATCTTGCCAGCAAGAATTAGAAGCCTTATTGTACTGTGAATAAGAAAACACTTCTGGGACAATTAGATCTAATTTAAAATTGTGCTTCTCTCTCTATCGATTCGTAAAAAATAGAATTTTTTGCTTGAAACCCATAAAAAAAAAGTCATTCTTCTTTAATATCGCCTACTTTTGCAGAAAGATGTATTAATGAGTTTGTAGAGTTTTCCACAACTCCTTATAGAATGAGACTTCCACAGAAATATCCCTCCACTGATATAGTGTTAGCGAGAATTAACAAGAACATTCGAGATAAAACTTTTTTTTCTCGGCATAGAAAAATTTTCATTAAAGATTTAAATCATATTTTTTTTTGGAATGAGATATGATTTATTAGTCTTATTATAAAAATTTTTTTCACGTATATGTGGTAACTACTAAAATTATTCAATAAAGTCTATTTTGAATTTATTTCCGCTGTTGTAAGCGATAGAAAGACTTGATATAATGGTTCGAATAAAGGAATATCGTTCTCAACAAGAATATAAGAAAATAAAAAATCATTACCAGATACGAACTTCAGAAAAACAAAAATCTTGTTTCTTAGTACTGGAAACAAGTATATATAGCTTTGTTTAAACTACATAGAATGATAGAGTAAACACATGTCTACAAAGGAAAACGTCTCTGAGTTCTTTGCGACCTTTTTTAATTGAGACACAGCGACCTTACAGAAGCCCTTAAAGTCATTTTTTTTCAATTTCCTGCAAAAGACAACTTTCTGATGTTTAATCAGATTGTCAACCAAAAAAAGTCACAGAAAACTCAATTAATTATCATTTCGTTTTCTGGAGTACTTATCTTTCCGAACTTGACAATAGTTTGTATTTCCTAGTATTCATGTTAGAAACCATTTTTTTCTATTCGAATCACTATTGGAAATTCTTTCTAATACTTACGACAACGAAAAATAATTCAAAATAAACCTTGCTGAATAGTTTTCATAGTCATTGTACATAGTAAAGATCTCTCATGAGGATTCAACTTTTTTTTAATATTATATTGCCATTTGAGATATGATAAAGCTATAAAACGATTGGAAAGAAATATGTTCTAAACTAGATAGAATAAAATGAACTTCCAATGATTAGCCAGAACAATTATATTGTGTTTCACATATTAATTTCTCAGGAATTGTGCTAACAGTATTTTGTTTTTAATAGGAATTGCAAATTCGCTTGACTTTACTGATCGACTTTTACCACGATTACAACTTAAGCCTGAGCATAAACCTTATTTGCTTCGTTTTTTACCTTATAATCGTGAAGAAATGTTATCAATTGTTAATGATCGGTAAAAGAAAAAACAATAATGAAGAAAATCAAATAAAATTTGTTATTTCTAAAACTTTTTAGTCTTGGTTCAATTGAATTATTCGATCGTAATGCTTTAATGTTATGTGCAAGTAAAATTGCATCAACAACAGGTGATTTACGCACTGTTTTTGAAGTTTGTCGGTAAGAAATATTTGATTATGAAAATGAATATTATTATTCTATTTCTCTAAACTTTCATTTTTTATAAATAGTCAATCAATGGAATTAGCTACTGATTCACCAACAAAAGTAAATGTTGGTGTAACTCAAATGATGGAAGTCTTTACTAATAATACTCAAAATACAAATTCATCAGATCATATACAAACAAAAAGTTTACCAACATTTGAAAAACTTCTTCTTTGTTCATTAATTATTTGTATGAGAACAAATAAAAAACGTGTTTGTACAAGAGCTAAAGTAAGTTATATTTCGTTTTCATTTTTATAGATTAAAATTTTATTTTTTTTTATTTTTATTAATAATCTTTCAAATTTTTATTATAATTTTAAATTCATTCGAGAGATTTATCTTTGTTTCTAGTATTTATTTGATCTTATCTATTTTATTTTGAATTGTACAAAGACTTTCTATTAAAATCATACGAATTACTTCTACGAATTTGATTCTATTGATATCCGAGTTCATTTAGATCGGCTTTCTGAAAAAAAAAAAAGATTTCTGAGTCTTTTTTTTTAATTAACTGATACAAAATAATTGATTTTCTTTTTTTTTGTAAATGAACCTTTGATGATGATTTCTTTTATAATTATTGATATTAACCAGAAGTTTGGGATAAAAGGAATATTTCATCTAGAATTTAATTCCTATTATTTGATAGATTGTAACAATTAATTATTAATGCAAATAGTTCTTTCAACTTTTCTTTTTTTATATCTCGCATTAGACTTTCATTTAGATATTTGTTTTATGATTTCATAGTCTTTCAAACCAATGTATTTTTACATTTTGTACTTTGATCCGTTGAAATTTGATCATATTTATAAATAATTAATTATATTCATTGTATAATTAAATTTTTTATTAGAATTCTAGTAGACGAAAATTTTGTTTTGATTGAATAAATCATTTCTATTAGATATGTATATTGAAGATTTTCGAGAAAATATTTTTAGAATTTAGATTTTGAAAAAAAGAATTGAGAATAAATTGAGTTTTGTTTTTTGTTATGAGATCTATTGAAATTGATATTAAGATTAATAATTTAACAATATGTTATGTTTGTTTTTAGTTACTTATGGTATTTCATGATCTATGTGCTAAACATAAACTTCCATCGGCAGATGGACTTGAATTTGAAGGTTTAGTTGATGCATTGGAAGATCATGGACTTGTAAAGATTATTCGATCGAAAAGCAAAATTAAACAAGATGATCAAGTAAGTTATTGAAGTAAATACCATGAGCACTATAGCATGTGCATCGCACGCATCCGACTTCCTATATTTGTGTGTGAGCTTGATGGAAGACCATTAGATACAAAACAAAACTATAGTGGCATAACAAATCTATATGCGCAATATCCTTCCTGATAATTCATCTATTTCAGACCGTTAATAAATCAATTCTATTTTTATAAATACACTTTGTCGAAGCAATTCGATAAATTGAGTATTGTAAATACTTTTGTTATTTTGTTTAGATTCATGGTAAAGTCGAAGATAATGTTTTGATTGATGCACTTCAAGATCAAACTTTACTTGGCATGGTTTTGCACAATTAAATGTTTATTATTATATGGTCAAATATATAAATGTGTATTCATGCTTGTTTGTTTTAAATTCTCTATTTTTTTTTTCCTAAAGAAAAACAAAAGATGTTGTGAACATTTGAATCTGTATTTTTTTTTTGTATAAATTTGTGAAAGTCAAACCTATTTTCTATATTAGTTAAATATAATTAGTGTTTTCTGTTTTTTTTTCAAGTGAAAATAGAAATATATATTGTGAAAAAAAAACAGCACCTGGCCAACACTCGATCACGTCAATGGTTAAAGGAAATGAAAAGATAGCATGAAAGAAAATAATGTCTTTTAGCGGGAAATGACAGTAGCTGTCAGCGTATATAGGATGTTCACTCGTGCAAATATAATCAGTTTCATAAGGATGTTGAAGAAACTGTAAGAAAATTGATAATGAGTGGGAGAAAAAAAAGAAGAAAGGTAAGTGTAATATAATGTTAAAGAAAGAAGTTAGAGATGAAGGAAAAAATAGAGACAACAACAAAAAGAAGATTACCGCTACTAGATTTAGATAATGAAGAATAGAAAGAGAAAAGAAGAACAAGAAAATATACAATGTGCATGTGTGTGTTTTTATCGTTATACGTTAAACATATAGAAAGAAAGGAAAATAGCAAAACCAGCATAAATAGGTTTTTAGCAAATATGATTGATTCAGAAACTAAGTAAAATATGTTCTCAGAACGTTGGCTATGTTTCTGCTGTCCGCCAATGCATAAACCTCCTCGACGAACTATTGTTGCACCAATTGAACAAACTGACAGTCCATCTGAAGCACGACCACCATTACAAATGAATCGAATGATGGGTAGAGAAAAACACAAATCTGAACTTCGTATGTATAGTGTGGATTAAAAGAATATTTTAGAGAATTTTTTCTTTTTTTTTCTTATATTAATAGATTTAGCTGCTGTCGTTATTATTCAAACATGGTTTAGACGACGACGAGCTTTATTTGAAATACGACGAAAAGCTGCATGGACAATTTATCAAAATATTGAATATGCTGGTGAACAAAATCAACTTAAAGTATCTTTGTTTTTTTTTGCTATTTGAATGAACACCTTAATAATCTCTAATATATTTGTTCTTTTCTTGTTTTTCTAACAAAATAGTTATACAATTTTTTTCTTGAACTTATGCAAACTGTTGCAAAAAATCCTCGTGATGTTACTGTTGCAGCTAAAGTCCTACGTCGAACTTCTAGTATATCAGGCATAGGTAATTATTTCTTTCGAAAACAAAACAACAAATAAATACACAAGAATTTCTTTTTAGCTGAAGAACTAGAATTAGAACAATTAACATCACCAGTAACAATTAGTGTTGAAGCATTGTATCAAGGACCACATGTTGATTTACCTATTAATAAAGGACATTTGGAATCATTGATTTTTGCTTTTCAACGCGGAGAGGTAGGAGAATCGAATTACAATTTATTTGAATAGTTTTATGAAGATTAATCTGACACAGTTGGATTTATAGTCATGATTGTTTCCGTATTTTTCTCAGGCTTCAAATTGTCTAATAGACGTTGTTTTTTTTCTATATTGAAGAAAACAAGATAAGTATTAATGAGAACAGTTGGTTTTAGAATCGTTCTGACTTTGATGATTGCATTATTAAAAAAAGTAATTATCGAATTTTGTATAACTTCATATGAAATTATATTCTGACTGTCTAAGAACTTTTTACTTTCCGATTTTGTTTTGCATTACAATATAATATTAATATTGAAAATAATTTCCTTTACGACTATCACAATTAGTTTATTGATTATTGAACAATGAAATTAGTTTTTTTTTTTTACTATGAAAATTTTAACAAGGAAAATCATTGAATTTGATAAACATGAGATTAGTATGACGTAAACTACTTATGCTAAGTCGATGCATAATAATCTTACATCTTTTTATTTTCTTTTTTATACAGTAAATAATTAATTATATTATATTTTTCATGTACAGCTCCTTCATGCTCATTATGTATTATTAATATTACATGAACTTCGTCGTATTCTTAAAAATTTACCAAATGTAAATGTAGTTTCAACTCATCAGTCAACATGTGTCACTGTTGTTGGAGATTTACATGGTAGTTTAGCTGATTTAATGATTATATTTCATAAGGTATATTAACTGATATGTTGATTCCTATGAAAGAATTCTATCTTTTATTATGTATATATATATATATGTTTTTTTTACTAAATAGAATGGTTTACCATCGAATGAAAATCCTTATATATTTAATGGCGATATTGTTGATCGAGGTTTTCAAAGTATTGAAATATTTCTTTTAATAAGTGTTGCATTTATTGTTTATCCACATAATGTTTATTTAAATCGAGGAAATCATGAAGATCATGTATTAAATTTAAGGTAAATTTAATTTTTTTCTATTAATATTTATTTATTATTTTATTTTGTTAAAATTTGTACGTCAGTTCATTTTAAATTATTTCAGGTTGATATAATCTTTTATACTAATTCAACAAGTATAGATTTAAAGAGAAACAAAACATTCGTAAAATTATACTTGCTTAAATATATACATACATAATAACATCTTTATCATAAATAATGAATTGAATATATAATGATGCTTGAGGGTTTTTTTTTTCTTTTAATGAATATTCAAAAAAAAGATTTCAATTCGTCTTTTTCTGTTTAAAAAGAAAAATAACAAACTTTTTCATTGAATGATCATATGAAACGTTGTTTAGAATTCCTGTTTTTTTTTTTTTCTTCATATAGAAAAGAATATAATCAAATGTAGCATTTGATTCCATTTTGTAATCAACACCTTTCGAGAGATCAAATTCATTTTCTAGAATAGAAAAAAAACAATTTATAGCATTGATGTAACTACACTAGAGAAAAACTAAGAAACTCTCATTCGATATCTAGATTTCTATATTTACTATCATTCTTATTTTAGGATTCTGCATCAGACTTCGTTCGAGTAATGTCAGAGAAACATTCTCATTAAACAAGTAGCACAAAAAAGAAGTATGAATGCCAACCGAAAGAAAAACGTCTCGTAGTTAGAGTTGAAAAGTTTGATTCCACTGGATTCTATTCATATATTCCGTATATTAGTTTATTTATTTATGTTATGTGTCATTGTCATTATTATTGAAAGGTAGAAATTTACTTAAGAAAGTTTTAAAAACGGGTGGACGTAAATCTTGTCCTTGCAATAGAAGATTCAGAGTCTTCTATTGTGTTCAAAAGTACATTTTTTCCAAGAAAGTCTTCTATTATATCTTATTTATTTTCATAGGTTTTCAAAAAAAACGAAAACGATTTTTACGATTCAGAAAGAAGTTTTTAGAATTTTAAAAACTTAGAAATAATATTGATCTCATTTTTATTATAATTTTTTCAGCACAAAATTCTAAAAAACGAGATATATTTTGATGTAAATTTACTAATTAATGTTTCATTATGGGAAAGAGTTTAACTCAATACAAGACAATACTAGAACACTTCTTTTTTTTTTGTTTTAAATTTATTGAATTTATCTTTTAATAATGTATAACATATATATTACAACAGAGACCGAAGAATGACCCATTATTTGTAATGAATGTCGAAATAAATACAAAGATTTCGAGTTGAATCCAATAGAAAAAAAAAGAAGCATAATCTGTCCTAGAAATTGTTAAGCTTGTAAACCTCTTTTCTTTTTTTTTTTCTATGTATACATTTTCAATAAGATCAGAAGAATCAGTGACGAATCTGGAATATTTATGATGGGAGGTGATCAAGATCATAAAACATGTTTTGAAGCTCATTAGAAATAGTATCAACTCATCTTAAGCCTTTTCTGCTAGAAAAACCGAGAAAAATGTTTTGGAAAAGGGGAAGGTGAGGAGGCGAGACGCAATCAACCTCTCATTATAAATGATCAGCCAACAAGAATAATGGATTTGACTAACTTATTTGTCATTTCAAGAAATTTTGTCAAGTAAAGAAAAACTTTAATGACATGAACCTGTGTGCTTTAGCATAATACTCATATAATTACTTACTTGCTAACTGATTACACTAATATAATCAATAAAATTTTCGTAACTTATGATCACGATCATAATTATGACCTCAAAATGATGGTCATGTTGACCTTTACCTTAAAATTTCTATTTTTTTGTATAATCAATTAGGAATGATACTTGTGTTTTTTTTTTCTTTGAAGTATTTTTTAAGGCCTCCCCCCCTCAAAAAAGTCAATTTTCGCCAAAAATTCAGAAATTGAGATAAATACATTCATAAACGATAATTTGTTTTTCTCGTTACTTCATTTGTCCCAAAAAATGTTCAAGATTTCCGTCAACCCCTATTTGAAAAACCAGCTGTTTTTTGAAAAATCGAAAAATGTTTTTCGTTTTTTTTCTCAGTTTATACTTTTTTGATCGCGTTTCCAAGAATTCTCTGTCCAGACTCGTTGTATATATTTTATTTTATTTTTGTTTGAAAGAGCATGTCAAGCTTCGTCGCCTACCAGAGTCCTTTTTTTAAATTAAGATTTGCTTCTAGAATATATACAAGCACTTTTGAAATAAACACCCATTTTTGGCGCGTTTTTTGAGTCATTGAACTTGTGATCCCTTTTCTCCGTTAAAAAAGTAAGAATAAAAAAAAGGGCTCTGGTAGGCGATGCATCCTGACATGCTCTTTCAAACAAAAACAAATTAAGAATATAGCACGAGCCGGGACCGAGAAATTTGGGTCCCCAAATGAGCTATTTTTGACCCTTCTTTGGTGAATATCTCCGTTCAACATCATGTTACAGGGCTGAAATTCTTACCATAGCCTTTCCACTACAGTCCTAACATACCCTAAAAATTTCAGTCAATTTGCAAGTACCTGGCCCGAGATAGGTTTTGGAGTGGGGGGGGGGGCCTTAAGTATTAGAAATGAATGTTAACAAGATTACGTTCATCTTTATCTTTTTTGTTTTTGCTTTCTTTAACAGGTATGGTTTTATGAAGGAAATCATACATAAATATAAATCTCATGCCACACGACTTTTACGTTTATTCGAAAATGTTTATAGTTGGTTACCAGTTGCAAGTCTTATTGATGATCATATTTTTGTAACACATGGTGGTATTAGTAATATAACTGATTTAGCTATTATTAATCAAATACAACGTCAGAAGGTAATTTAATTTTGATATTATATTTAAAATAATAATAAAGTCTTCATTTTCTATTCAGTATGTATCTGTATTAAGTCCAAGTTTTATCATACCACCAAATGAAGATCAATTTCAAATAGGTAATATTTCGAATGATTTATTACTTGAATGGCGACAAATACTTGATTTATTATGGAGTGATCCGAAACAAAGTGACGGTTGTGAACCGAATACATATCGTGGTGGTGGATGTTATTGGGGTCCTGATGTAACAAAAAATATTTTAGAAAAACATAAATGGAGTTTACTTATTCGTTCACATGAATGTAAAGAAGAAGGTTTTGATTATACTCATGATAAAAAGGTTTTATTGATGTTTCTTTTTTTATAATTAATATTATTTCGTTTATTTTTATATTCATATCAATTAGGTGCTTACTATTTTTTCTGCATCAAATTATTATGCAGTAGGTAGTAATCGAGGTGCATATGTAAAAGTAATTACTAATCAACCACCATTAATTGTTCAATTTATTTCAACAAAATCTTCACATAAATCATTGACCTTATGGGAAAGGTTAGTTATAAAATTAAAATAGTTTAGAATTCTTTTTTTTTTTATTTTGTGAAACACGATCTAAAATAGGAATGTATAGTTTCAATAAACTGTTGATTGAATACTTGCACTAAACTAGCCCTGGATCGATGTTCGCTAATTTATCTGCTGACAGCATATAATACATTTGAACTGTATCAGAAGTGAACCATAATTCTGAAGAGACAGCTTCCACCCTCAGCAAAGTACCTGCCCTCAGCCTAGTTTCTTTCGTTTGGCGGTAATATATATATAACGAGATTTATAGAAAAATTCTAATAATTCCCGAAAGCTGTTGGACATATTCATACGGTATGAATATGTCAACGCGTCAGTAGATTCACTGTCAGTACTTTCACAAACACTACACATTTCTAATCTAAGAAGAATGTTGTAGTATAAAAGCTAGGAACTTGCATTTACTCACTCTACAGATCATGACAGACGTTGTTGATACCTGATCATAGACTTTAATGTCAATAACATCTTGTTATTACTTCCTTATTGTATTACTGGAGGATTAAGTAAAAGGATAGTGAAGAAATGTGTTCCAAAATCGATAGAATAATCTTTCTGTGATTAACAGCATCGTGTTTCACATTTTAATCTCTGCAAGGATTGTGCTAACAGTTTTTTTTTCTTATTTCTAGGGTATCTTATGTTGAAGATCAAGCCATTCAAAATCTTCTTGAAAAATTTAGTGTAAATAAAAATCGATTGATGAGAGAATTTGCAACTGTGGACCGAAAAAAAACAGGTAGATAATAAAAAAAAAATTGTTTTTTTTTCTTGTTTTCGAATAACATCATTTATTCTATTGAATTTTAATCAGGAAGTTAAGATAGATATTGCACAAAAATAGCTCACTATTAAATAAAACTTCCATGATAGTATTTATGATAAAATAATTTTACTAAAAAGTTTGTCTAGAGTAATTAATATATTCTGAAAGAGTAAGTAAATGCTCCAACGAATTTAATCATTAGATATTAAACTAGGGAATTGCGTGATCGACTTTGTAGGTCACAATCAAATTTTTGAAAATACGTGTTGTAATGGGTTTTAGCAGAAACTTGTGACACCCATCGAAGTAAACTTTATTTCACTCTAATTTGTTAAATTCATATTTGAGTGATTAATAAAATAAAATTTATATGAATAAACATGTTTTGGTTTTTTTTCATGCTGTGACTGTATCCAAGAGTATTTCCGTGATGGTAGTGTAGTTCCTTATATTAAACTCTTCTTAACATTGATTAATATAAATTTCCTGTGATGAATTAGCAGGAAGAAAGCCAACTGGTGATATTTATTTTGTACTTGTCTCAAAAGAAACTCTCTTCTTATGTAAAGAAACAGAATATTAAAAAACAAATCTATCTGATATCGAGCTGTCGTTAAGTAGCAATGTTATGATTTCTGAAAAAAAGTAAATTTTTTTCATGAAAAATCATAATCAGCAAGAGGGTTTGGAAGTTACGATAAGTTTCGTTAAAGCAATCGAAATTATCTGTTCGAAAATACTCAGCTTTTCAAGAAATTTCCTAAAGTTATCAAAACATTACAAGGAAATTTCTAGGAAAATTTCGCCGCTTCTGATATATGACTGGGAAACTTCCAAATAATTCTGATAAGAAGTGATTGGCAAAAAAAAGAAATTTCTAAAACCAATGCATCACGAGAAAATACTAATAACTACTATAAAATTACTAACAATGGAAGTATTTGTATTGTAACCGAGCTATACTTGATATTTTGGCGTCAAATGAAAGCTCTCACCGCCAAACTAACAAGGTTTAGATATGAGCGGCCGTTGGCCTGCCGAGAGGGAGAT